AATTATGACGTAGATAATTATAATGCACCTTGTAAATTCAATTGCTCGATATGGACAGTGCACCGCATTTTTTCTCAATCAAAAGTCGGCAAAAATCTTCATCGAGGCCTCAAGAGTGGCCGACGACCAATCACAACCATAAAAGAATATCGAGCCGTGATCCAAATGGTGAAAAACGATCCGAACAAAACATCAACCGATGGAAGCCAAATGATGAGGGATCAATTTAACAAGGTTGTATCGCCGGAAACGATCAGACGACGATTAAATCAGGCTGGATTATCTGCAAGAAGGGTTGCCCGTAAACCTCTGATAAATTCTAAGCACCGGAAGCAGCGCCTTGACTTTGCACGGACCTACCGAAGTTGGACGACACGTGATTGGGCGAAAGTGTTATTTATTGATGATTTCTTAAGCTCAAAATTGTGCTTAAATTGGCTTTTTTTGCTATGATTCCTTAACTTTTGCTTTGAAAAATCGAAAAAACGGAAGCGTTAAAGAGAAATTTTAGTTGATGAATAGAGCTTTTAGATGTTAAAAACTTGTCAGTTATAGTAAAAAGCTAATAGCAATAGTAATAGCAATAAAAAAAAGCAAGCAAAGGTAAGGAATCATAAAAACTTTACGTAAATGCTGTAATAGAGCGAGCCCTATAGGAGCGTTGTGTAGTCGAAGTTTACTCCTCAAACAAACGCTCATATCTTGACACCAATACGTTTGTTTCTCTGCACTTTTATATCAGAATTAAAGTAGAGAAATGGGTAATCTTTTGAGATATAAAACATATTTCTAGCATAAACCATTAAAAATTTAAGTTAACTTTTATCTTTTTTTATCTAAAAACTTTTATGCTCGTTTCTAATGAAGTAGAAAAGAAATTTATGATTGTTGTTGTTGATTGTTGTTGTTGTTGTTGCTATTGTTGATTGTTGTTGTTGCTATTGTTGATTGTTGATTGTTGTTGCTATTGTTGATTAAAGTAAACTATCAGTTAATGGCTTTAAAATTCGATCTATTTTCTCATTTTATTTGAGTGGAAAAGAAAAAGAAAGCCTTGTTTTTCTGCTTTCAATTTCCCTGTTTCCTTATATTTTTCCCTATCACATGAGCTTTTTTCTTTTTCTTTCTCTTTTTTCTTTTCCATTTTCTTTCCCTTTTTCTTTTCCCTTTGATTGTGTGATCAGACGGACGGGAAATGGCCATTTTCTTTTTTCCTTTGATCACAAAATGAACATTTTATTAGCTGTCTAATAAATCGAAATTTTAAATAGCTGATTAGCTGATTAGCTGAGTATCTTTTCTTTCAAATTTTAAAATTTTCATCTATCTTTTTTTTTTGTCTTATTCTCATGATAAACGTACACTTTCTAGCGTACTTAAAAAGCAGAAAGTTTGCCAGAAAGGGTGCGTTTATCTATCTAGTTTATCACTTTGTTCATTGTGTACTTGAATGGGTAAACACAGATGATTTGGTGCACTGAATTCTTCGCTTTTCTTTATTCTTCATTTTTTTCGGTACAGAGCGTTTTAGAGGGGAAAAAAAGGAGATTCTAGTGCACCAAAAAGCATTCGTTTACGGTTTACGGTGTACGCAAAGAGCGCTTAAATAAACGACTCAATTTTTTTTGCTCTGTCTTCGCACTTAGGTTTTTCTATTTGCCCAGATCACAACCTGCTTCCACATTTCTCGATCCCTTGCTATTGTCATCCAGTGTTTCCTAGCTTGATTGTCCCTGGTTCGAAGTCTTCGACTTGCTGGTGCTGGTGGTGGTTGCACTCTAGCCATCCTTTCTCTGACCTTTCTCTGACGGTCTCTGACCTTTCTCTGCCACTCTTGTGCTCCACCTCGTTGCTGGTCTTCCGATGGGCCTCTTCTGGTCTCGTGGTAGCCACTCTGTGATCCGTATCGTCCATCTGTCGTCTGTTCTTCTGGCTACGTGGCCGGCCCATCTGAGTCTTTTTCTCTCGATCACTTCCACTGGATCTCTGAGTCCCGAGAGCTCCACCTCGTTGCTGGTCTTCCGATGGGCCTCTTCTGGTCTCGTGGTAGCCACTCTGTGATCCGTATTCGTCCATCTGTCGTCTGTTCTTCTACGTGGCCTGAGTCTTTTTCTCTCGATCACTTCCACTGGATCTCTGAGTCCCGAGTGCTGGCGCATATCCGTACTTCTTAGGTCTTGGTCGAGCTGCGTCTTCCTATTGTGCCCGAGGAGGTTCCCTTCAAGGGACTTGCTGGTGCTGGCGGTGGTTGCACTCTAGCCATCCTTTCTCTGACCTTTCTCTGACCGTCTCAGCCACTCTTGAGCTCCGCCTCGTTGCTGGTCTTCCGAAAACGACTCAATTGAAAGTTTTTTATTTTTTAAAATTTTAAATTCTAAAAGATCATTTTCCAATGTTCATTTTTCTTTTTTTAAAATATTTTATAATAATTTTGTTTTGTTTTTTTATTGAGATTATTATCGATTTTTGTTGAAATCTCAAATTTCTTTTCAATTTTTTCAAAATTTTCAACTTTTTGATCTTTCTTTTATTTTTTATCTTCCAACTTTTATCTACAACTTTTCAACTTTTTCTCTACTCGAGAAACCAGTTTGAAAATGTTTCCGAGCTCAATTCCTTGAAATTTCCCCAAAAAAATCAAAAAACAATCAATTTCCTCGATTTTAGAGTGTAACTTTGAAATTTCGATTTCTATTTCGATTTTTGACTTATTTTAGAAAGATTTTCTTCGATTTCAGCTTCATTTAACGTTTAAAAAGTGATACAAAAAATTCGCTCAACTTCCGCGAAAAAAAAAAGCGATGAGCACCGAGCACTTGAAGGAGGTGATTTTTGACGGTCAGTTTGGTCACTTAAAAGCCTTGATAACTTTAGCGATCGATCACAATCGATTCACTTTTCATATATTATTTCATCTATATTATTTATATCTATATTATTCAATTTCTATATAGTTTTGTAGAGGACACTAGTCAATTCACTGGAAATTCAGTTTAAGAGCTGCCAAATTGGGATTTCTGACGCTTTTTGCTGGCTAAGCATTAAAACAAACATCACCAATCGATTCACCGACCTCGAAAACCCCTTGCTGCAAATTTCTGGCCCTAAATCTCATTCGGGAGCGATTGTCAAGTCAAAAGAAAAATCACTGTCAAGAGGTGTTCTTTGTGCGGCCACGTAATCGCTCGCTTTCTGGCATAGCCGACCAGTATAAGAAGGTTCCCTTTAGCGATTTGATTTGAGTGTTTTCTCTCTTGATTTTCTCGGGATCGGCTAGCCCAATCGTTCTCTATTTGGTATCATTCGAAAGCTCAAAGTCTCCTCTATAAAATTATAAAACTTATTTTAGTTAACTGTTAAGAAATGAGATAAAAAATCTATAAAATCTATAAAACCTATAAATTTTTTGATTTCTAGATGGTCCAATTCTTCCTGATGAGCCATTTCATCGGCGGTTTTGCTCAAAAATTTCGTTGGAAACGTTTGAAAATGTATTTCTTAAGCGAAATGATTCAAATTCTCTTCAAATTCAAATTTAGATTTTTATAGATCTAATAAAAACGCTTGGAAGAAGCGAAGAAGCCGAAAAATTGAATTTGAAAAATTTGAATCGAAAATTTCTCGAGACTTTGGTTCAAGGGTGGCGAAAATCTAAAGAGAAAAACAATTCAACTGACGGGGATTTTCAGGTTCAAAAATTTGCAAGATATCTAAAGAAATCGATTGTTAGAGATGAAAAGAAATGAAAAGAAATAAAAAGATTTTCAGTGTCTCTTGCTTATCGTCGAATTTTGCTTGTCAAATGCTTTCGAAGCGCATTTAACTTTCGAGAATTTGATCTCAGCACTTGGATTTCATACTGTACAGGTGGTTTGAGGAGATTTCAGCTTTCCCTAGCTTTATAAACTTTCCCTTCAGCTTTCTCTAGCTTTATAAACCTTAGATTGTGATAATATAGATAGTAGAGAGGACAATAATAGATTATTAATAGATTATTGTGCTTTTTAAAAGAATAAAAGCAAAAACGAAGCGCTTACCGGGGTCGAACCCGGATCTTTTGTGTCATAGAACAGAGCACTCCTCACTGCGCCATGGCTACAACAGAAACCTAGCCAGAAAAACCGATTTTAAGCATTTCTCCTTAGACATTTAACAAATTTTTCGACCTATTTTTAAAGTAAATAAGCCGAAATCATTGTTATCATTATTTTCAGTTTTGGCGTCACACTGTACCCCATATTTTGAAGAAATTTCAGTTTTCCCTACCACATAAACCTTAGAATAGATTATTGTGCTTTTTAAAAGAATAAAAACAAAAAAGAAGTGCTTAACGGGGCCGAACTCGGATCGTTTGTGTGATAGAAAATAGCACCCCTCACTGCGCCATGCTGACCACAGAAAGCCGTCCAGAAAAAACGTTTTTAACCATGTCTCCTTAGAAATTTAACAAATTTTTCGGCTTATTTTTAAAGTAAATAGTTGCTTATCATTATTTTCAGTTTTATTTTCCATTGTTATCATTATTTTCAGTTTTGGCGTCACACCGTACCCCATATTTTTGACTCGGATTTGTCACGGGGAACAAAATACAGAGACGCTTTACTTTTCTCCCTCACTTTATACGATGTAAACACGGGAAAGAGTCGATTGAAGTAAGTTGAGGCCATTTTATTCAACAACACAAATTGATGTAAAGAGAAAATGACTGAAAATTGACAAAGCACAGGCAAGTATCTCTACTTGCCTGTGCCAGGTGTTTCTCTCCACAAATAGTGTGATATAGGAAACGGGTTAGAAATCAACTGAATCACTTGAATCACTTGAATTTCTTCGACAATTTGCAAGAAATTCCTTGCACGAATTTCGAAATTCCTTCGAATTTCGAATTTCTTAGCTGAAGTGCACAAAACATTTCAAAGGATTCAGATTTTTGATCTGTCTTTACAAGTTTTTGTACTTGTAGTGCGATGTCTACAAGTAGAGTGTCTACAAGTAGAGTGCTGCTACAGGTAGAGTGCTGCTACAGGTAGAGTGCTCGCATACGAGTCTATTGTTGAGTTCGAGTCCGGTTCGAATTGAATTTTCGAATTGAAAAAACCGTACGCTTTTGTGTTGTGTGCTAAAAGCTTTTTTTGTATAGGGAATGAACAAATTGTTAGCCAAATTTGATGAGGATTCTTTTAAAACCAATCGTTAGTCGATCCGATGCTTGTACGTCGAGATGTAAAGCAAAGGGCAAACCTACGTCACCTAAAACAAATTGTACTTTTCTATAGTTAAATTTAATAAGGATTCTAATGAAACCAATTGTAAATCGATTTGAGGCTTCTATCTCGAGATATAAGCCGTTAAAGCTGACCGGCTTCTGTAGGTAAGTAGGTCAACTTTGACGCCGGTTTTCTTTATTTTCTTACAACTTAGTGTACAAAGCAAACTGAACATTTCTATCGCCAAATTTGATGAGGATTCTTTTAAAACCAACCGTTAGTCGATTTGAGGCTTTTATCTCGAGATATAAGCCGTTAAAGTTGGCCGGCTTTTGCATGTTAGCCGGTCAACTTTGACGCTTGTTTTCTCGGTATTCTTGCTGGTGAGTACCCCAAAAAAATGATACTTTTCTATAGCCAAATTTGATGAGGATTCTTTTAAAAGCAACCATTAGTCGATCAGATGCTTGTCTACGTCGAGATATAAAGCAAAGGGCAATCCTACGTCTTATTTATTCAGTTGTTCGTATCTGTTCGTATTGTTTGTAAAGTTTACAAGAAATCCTAGGGTTTTAGTGTCACTTCTCAATTAAGAAAACCATCTTTTTAAATAGAGAAATAGAGAATTTTTGTTTAGAGAACTCTATGCAGCCGTGCCTGGTATCAGGAAATCGCTGCTGGGAGTGAACGCGAAGCAATTCGTCGAACGCTTTCATCACTTACAAAAGAGATTAAGGTATAGAAAAATGATAAAAATCTGAAAAAAACCTTTTTAAAGCCGTTTTTACATATCAAATCCTCAAGAAAATTAAGTGAAATTTCAGTCGAAGCAGCTCAACGAATAGCTTGCGAAACTCGGCCGAGAATCTCAATGGGACAGGTTTATTGAAGCGTTGAAAAGAGATCAAATTTTGAATAATTTCGTTAATAAAACACTTCTAAACTATTGGGTTGGTGAATTGAAAACTGCCGGACTTTGAACTAAAATTTATTCAACATAAAACCATAAATTCATTCAAATAATTTCCATTATTATTGATGACTTCTGCCCATTTTACAGGCAATTTGCGGTTCCTCTTTCGTGGTAGGATTTTGGTTTTGTGTGTGAGACAAGTGTGAGACTCAAAAATCGAGGACTGGAGATGTCCCAGTTTGAGCATTTGAGCACTTTCTTCAAAAGAAACCCATTTTGGTGTCAATAGAAAAGTTGTAGAGAATCAAAAAGTAGGCTTATAGCCAAATTTCCAAAAGATACACTTAGTAGTTTCGCTTAAAATGCAAGTTTTGTGAAAATTCGTAAATTTGACATTTCTTGAAAACCAGTTTTGAATCGTTCTGAAAATTTGGATATAAGCTTGATTTTGATTCTCTAGCAACTTTTCCATTGACACCAAAATGGGTTTCTTTGAAGAAAGTGCTCAAACTGTCACATATGACAATAGCCGGCAGTTTTCCAATTCACCAACCCAATAGATTGAGCTTCGATTTGAGGAGAATCAATGTCAATTTGAGGATTCGTAGGTGGCCAGATTAGTTTCGCAAAGCGAGAGGGAAGGGGTTATGTAAAAGCCCTGCCCCAGACGGTGAGCGATTACGCAGCCGCACAAAGAACACACAGAACACTACAAATTTTAAGCAGAAACTACTAAGTGTATCTTTTTGGAAATTTGGCTATAGGCCTAATTTTTGATTCTCTACAACTTTTCCATTGACCCCAAAATGGGTTTCTTTTGAAGAAAGTGCTCAAACTGTCACATATGACAATAGCCCGCAGTTTTCAATTCACCAATCCAATAGATAGATTATAGAATTTTGTGAAAAAGTTTTGCAAAGAAATTTCATCTTTCGATAGTCAAACGCGGTCTCGACGAACCTCGGAAACCGATGGGAACAACGACGAGAATTCGTAGACCGTTTTTCAAACGGGTGGACTCCGTCTGACCCGCATTTTCATGTGCGCGATGTTTTGTAGGAAATGATTGCTCAGTGCTTTGAAGCCTGCGCTTTAAAAGCTCAGTGCTTCAAGCTCAGTGCTTTTAAAAGCTCAGTGCACAAGAGCTCAGTGCTTTCAAAAGCTCAGTGCTTTAGAAGCTCGGCGCTTTAAAGCTCAGTGCTAAAGCTCAGTGCTTTAAAAGCTCAGTGCTTTAAAAGCTCAGTGCTTTAAAAGCTCAGTGCTTGTGCTCAGTGCTCTAGAAGCCTATGCTTAAAAGCTCAGTGCTTTTAAAAGCTCAGTGCTTTGAAGCTCA